GACCACCGGGGGCTCCCAATTAGTTACATACACAAGTATTCTCAGACATACTGTAAAACCTCCAAATCACTAAATATAATAGGCTGATCCCTGGAACACTATAAATTGATTTAAATTCCTTTACATGTGAGGATTAAAAACAGTGATTGAAGACAAAAAGGAGCTTTTCTTTGATACAATGTTAAAGCAGAAGCACAGTGTCTAAAGTTGCAGCAGTATACAGGATTTTGGTGAAGTCAAACCTAAAGACACTTGTTTTGCAAGTGAAAATCTAGGATGGTATGTGATTTAACAAAAAACCAAAAATAAACAAAAAAACCCTCTAGATTATTGGTCAATCAGGGGTTCACACCTATCCCAAAGCATAAGGAAAAGGATAAAAGCAACTTTTTTTTTCTTTCAACAATACAAAAGTATTATTGCCAAGGTATATCAAGATGGGAAGATGACGAAAGGAGTATGTATTTAGATGAAAATCAGAAAAATGTCCTTTTCTATTATCTAGATTAAGACTCTTTACATTTCTGGATATAAACATTAGAAGTTACTCTTTTTTTTTCTTTTTTTTTTTTTGGCATTTATAAATACTGCTTTGGAGGAGCAGTCCTTTGTAACTGTAATATTTACTATTTTTACATTGCATCCTACCAAAAAAACGTCGTTTCCAGCATAAACATTTCAGTGGAGAATAAAGATCTATCCCTACTACTTCTAGCACAAACAAGCATTTCTTCATCTAAACAATCTGGTATTGGCCTTCATTGGAACAAGGTTACTAAATTAGAGGAGCAATGCCTATGTTTTAGCATCTGTTCCCCTTAAAATTTATGTATAATTCAGTACCGACTATAAAACACCGTATGAAGTCTCCTTCCAATGTGTAAACATTTTTTTATATCAACTGAAAGCTGTTCATTGACTGCCATTGGGTTTATATTGGCTCCCTCTTCTGGCTGACATGCACAAAGTGCAATTTAGTGAGATTTTTTTTCTCTTTTCCACAAATTATGGAACTGCATTAAAGACATCGGCATAATAGAGAAATAATTTCTTTCATAATCTACCCAGGAAAGTTAGCCAGTTCAAATCTGACTACAGCAGTATCAAAATTGCCAAGCCAAAGCACTAAAAAAAAGAAAAAACCATAATCCATAGAAGGAAAAAAAAAATCTTAACAACCATTAGAAGAAAAACAGGCATGTTTGCAGAGGACAAATGAAAGAAGAAAGGGGACTACAAGAAATGGCGCGCGATACATGAAAAATACTAAAAGGACTCTTACCTCATAACACGGACGTTTGCAGGCAGTTTGGGCCTGATTCGTAGATGAATTTTCTCCTCCCTGATTGGTCAAGGTTTCCCTCTCCCTCATTGGCCAGGATTTGCCACAGTGTGGGCGGTCCTGCCATTTCCCTCCTTCCGTGTTATTGGCTCCTAGTTAATTTATGCATGTTGCTGAATCCCCATTGGTTGTTTAGTCCCATGCTCCTCCCAGTTTCCAGATCCTTCCACCCTGAACCCTATATAAGGGTTAGCTCTCCCCTCAGTTGGGGACAGTGCCCTTGACTCTGTGCCTGCACGTGTCCCTGCGTTAATAAACACCTACGGCAGAGCAAGAACCCCTCGTGCTGTCGTCGCCTCTCCTTTCACCGGGCTGCGGCACATGTTGGAGGATGAGAATAAAAATCAAAATACCATTTGGGGCTACTGTTTAAGAAAAACAGCTCATTTATCTTCAGGATTCTGAAGCAGATTTGGGAAGCTATTTTTGGCTGTGGTTTTAACTATTTATATTTCATTTCTAACTGTTCCATATATTACATTCAGGTAATAATTTCCTAAAATATTTTTAAATATATTGAAAACATGTCTAAATAGATTCTTAAATGTTCTTTGATAGCAGTCCAAGGACACTTTTTAAAAGTTTATGAGAAATTTAGGCATGAATTATTCTAACTTTTAGCAATGAGTTAGTCTGGAAGATGGAATTTCTTTAGTACTTTAATATTTGCACTCCAACAAAGCCGCAGAAAAGCATCAGTTACCTGCCCATATTTGAATTATAAATTAACTTTTCTCTTTAAAAAATAATCAACCAACCATTATGAAAAATTGTATAGAAAAAGAAGCAAATAGCTCACAAATAGAATAAACACTGTAAATTTGCCAAACTCGAATTTGTTTTTCCAGCTCTTACTTCCATTTTATTGACTTTCGCTTTGATAGGAAGATGATTATACTGAAGGTTTCCATCACAGGGCAGGAGTTTTAGCCTAATCTTGATTACAGCATGTAAAATTCCTATATTGGCCATAAGATGAAATGTACCCAGGACTTCTAGTTAAGAGCTAACAGTTTTTCCCTCGGTTCCAAAGATTCTGTTCCTTGATATTATGGAAATTTCTTCCTGCCAGAGATTGCAGCCTGGTTATGAATGAAAAGTCTGAAACAAGGGTAACAGGCCCTGACATTCACACGTTTCTGCTCAGTGGGTTACAACTTAAACATGAGTATAAATAAATTATTATTAGAATATTTCTCTCATGTAGTGTTACCTCTATTTAGTCTTTGTTCCACTCAGGCAGTTCCTTCTGGAATTATTTAAATGTGGATTATTTTGAACAGGCAACCAGAATATAAAACACAGAAACAGTCCCCAGTGAAATTTCAGAATTACACATTCAATTTTTAACACGAGGCTCTTGTGGTTATGACTGTAGAAAGTGTTACATATGGCAAGGCTCTATCAATATTTCAATGTGAACTGAAGCAAAAAAGGATGCTTCAGATCATGCTCAGGTTTAGAATTTCGGCATATTGCCCAATAAAGACTTTACACAGTGTACACCACACCACTGTTCTTTTTCTATCAGTATAGAAAGTCCAATGGACTTTCACTCTTTAGAGAGACAGATACATTTTCCAGCACATAGCTAACTTCAATCCCATCAGATATTACTGTTCTCCAGTAATATCTCAATTGTTTTCTTGGTGAAGAAGAGAGAAAATAAAAAGAAACAAGCAATTTCTGATGCAATGAATTACACTGTTAAATGTCACATTTCTCTAGATAGAATATGTCACTGAATATTTCTGTAACTCTGTTCCCAGTTATTAAAATCCTATTATTCCTATTATTAAATTTGCAGAATAGAAATAGTCTGTCATTAAGATTAAAATTTCTTAAGGGGTATATTCATTAACAAGTATTTCAATAATTAGATCAATCATACCTAAATTTGCAGAAATTTCATCCTGCAAGAATGTTGATGTTATAATTTTGTGGCAGATAAAACCTTTCTATCTGAATGCCTGAACTCCTGCTCAACTAAAAAAAAAAAAAAATAGTCATGAACAAAAAACATTAAGAAATAGTATCTTCTTACTATAGTATTATACATTTTTTTTCCATATACTCTGATTGTATTAACAAGTAAGCCTATGGGAAAAGAACAGCAAACAAAGAAGACTGGATAAGTCTACAAGATTTCCATTTCGTGGTTACCAAAGAAGCAGTTGCAGGTTGGATTCCACACACCACACAGCTCACGGGACACCTGCGGAGGCAGGAGTGTGTTCGCACGGGAGAAAGCAGTGGCCACATGAGGTAGGAAACACCAGTGCAAGGCAGTGCAAACCCCTTCCATCACAGAGAAAAGCACTGCTCTATGATTACCCTGGTTTTCCCTCCGGCATCCAAACCCATGAGGCTTCCCTGCCAAGCTTCTGTCAGCCATTGGCAACCACATTAAGAACGGTCTACATCTCAGTATTATTAGAATAAGCTAGTTTTAGTTATAGAAATGTGAATTTGGCAGTATTGCTACAAGCGTACACAAATTATACAAATCAGTTGCTATTTGGAAAACAAACTGGCTTATATTTACCACTGATCAATGATGCAGCAGAGTACTTAATGACACCCAAGCATTTGCAGAACGTGCAAGCTGTGCAAACAAAATGTATAAACTTAAGAATCTTGGACATCTACCTAGAGCTCTTTAGCTGATGCTTCTGGACTCTAATGAGTTTACTGTGTATGCATCACACACACATAACTATTGGCTTCAACAGATGAATCCTTCAATGCAGATTTAGGATGAGATGAAAAATGGAAAATTTCCTTTAAAAATGACATTCATTTACAGAAGGTCAGTGCTATTAAAAGAAGAAAAGAGACAACAATAAAAACTGCACATTGGATGTAGCTGTAAAAATTCACATCCTTGAGTCCTTCAAGTATAATTTGACAGGTTTTTGGTAAAGTGATCTCACCAGAAGAGAGCTGTGACAGAAATAGAATTGATTTGTGCAGATCATTAACTGAACGAGTTGTTTCCTTTCAGATTATGTTTTGATAGCTTTCAATAATACTGTCTTTTCAGTTTTTTCCCCTTTTTCTGGGAAAGTTTATAGTTTTCAAATTCAACATTTTCCATCTATATTTTTCTCAAAGTATTACCGCATGACTCATCTTCATCAGTGCACAGCATAACATGCGTTGCTGTAACACACTTATGTGCATGAACTTTGCTCACAGCAAACACAAGACCATGCAGCTTATCCAAAGTCTCTGCCACCCCAGTTAGAGAATTCTTACCTCATGGCAGGAGAAGAGCCGAACTCCTTCCATCTGATGGAAGACTGGGTAGTGGGTGTTATCGATTGTATCTCGGCGGTAGACATCTCCCACAGCCAGAAAGGCATCCAGGCCAGAGTGTATCAAGTCCCACTGATGAGCTGATGTGTGTGCTCTTAGCATGTGGTCACGGTTCAAGTAATAGTTATCCTCTTTCCTTCTGCTGGCATGGTTTTGAGGGATAAGTAAACTATCAAAATTCTGCTGTACTGTAACCACGGGAGAAAGACCATCATAAACAGAAAAGAGTGGAGTCCCACGGCGCCCTATATAGTGTTTGTAGAAGTGGTCCTTCACCTGCTCCTTGATTAGCCACAAAGGGTGATGTTTTCTGTTGTGCAAGTTCTTCCCCACCTTGGAAAGAATCTTCTCTGTGACATTGCTGTAGTCATCCTGAGGATAAGTTTTACCAAGCAGTTCCACAGTATTTGAGCACGGTGCACCGGCAGCAAAATCTGAAGGTACAGACTTGGATGAAGAATGCCTTGAATGGGTGGGAATTCCTCTTACCTTTACTTTTGGTGATAAAGCTGTTTTAGAATATTTAGCTACTCTCATGAACTTCCACAGCATTGCCATTGTGAACTGTTTTATAATCTAGAGAAGCAAAAAAAAGAGTTAAATTTGAGTTAGGAACAGCAATCTTGCTGTAGGAATTGCTAGTATATCAGGGATACATGAATACAAATGTCTGCTTGATTAGTACGACAAAGTTTCTGTTATAAACCACTATTTCAACTTCAGAGGAGGGAAAATACCCTTGTGACCAAATTTCAGCTACGGTATCTTATTCAATTATCAGGCTTTTGCATCACTGCATCAGTATTAATGACTCCAGAACTATCCTTAACCCCATTCTGGAAAATGCTCTTTACGCTGAATAAACATCAGACCTTCTCTGAAACAGTATTTTTCATTCAATTAAAATATGAGACAATAACCGAACAGTACTTTCAAGAAACTTAAAAATTTAACAGTGGCCTCTGGCAGGCAGAACTTGCTTATAATAAAACCCCAAGCATTACCTTCTTGTTGTATCATCTCCTCCCATCAGCAGAAGCTACAGAACATGTTTCAGATCAACCAGATGCATGTGGCACACACTGTGCAATCACCACTAATTCTTACTTAACACCAAACAAAACCAGTTTAACCTTTCAGACTACTGAACCACTGTGAAAAAAACCCAGATAGTCAGACCACAAGCCATTTATTTTTATATAAACCGAAGATTAAGTTCACATATGAGTATTGCAAAAGACTCACAATAAAAGCCCCATATAGTCAGAACCAGTATTAGCATTTTGGGGCAAGCACAAAATCCCTTTTTCTGCATATTCCCAGAAAGGCTATTTTCACAGCTTCCACTGCTGTACTGGGCAGGCAAGGTTGTCAGATATTAGGAAGCCGAATGAGGTGATGAGATTCTTAAGGTTGTCTGGATGGATATACTCATTTCCTATCAAAGGGCCACCTTTACAAATCCTCCCTGTTTACAAACGGGCTTTGTGTTTCATGTGTTCACAGTTGCATTACTCTGCAGTGTTCAAAGAGAATTGCAAATCCAAGAAGTTTTGAGGATGACAAACCTTTTGGTCACTCCAAATGCATAAGCCCATTTTGAAATGCAAAATTTCTTGAAAATCTGTAGCTGAGCTTCAGAAATATCAGCACTAGTTCCAGTAAAATAATTAAGCATTACAATTTGCTTATTACAGAATGGGAAAACAGAGGCATTAGAAGTTAAGTCACTGGGGAAAGACAGGTGCTCCAAACAAACTGGCTTCTCTTTCCCTATCAACCAAGAAAAAGAAGATCACAGGTTTCCTGGGTGAAAGAATTTTCTGTGAAAGTCTTCTTAAAGAACTAGGGGAAGACAAGACATTAACAATGAACACAAAACACTTTTCAAGAGATACCTTTCCATCTTTATGCTAGGATTATAATCTGGCTTTCCACAGGAACATAAGAGAAACAAATGTAAATAAAGAACACAAAAGCTAACCTTATTTTTCATACTCTCATGTTTTAAAATATGTATGCAAATAGAATAGACACATAGCAGAATACAGAGTCCCAAAGAAACAAATCTGTAAAAGGCAGTATGTTCATATTTGGCCTCCTTTCTTCTGTCTTATGCCTAGATGTTCTCTATGGGTCTGTTTCAAGCAGTAATTGTATCTCAATCAACTAAAAGAAAGGCAAGTTGGGTAGCCAGAAATTAAATTTGCCGGGGCAGCATAATATTTGATTTAATCCTTTTCCTGGTCAAATATCTTCAGAAATGAAGAGCAGCTACAACTTTTATCTAGTTTTGAAACCTTTAAGAAGGACTGCCTTTGGTAGGGGGTGTAGTTAAGAGTTTACAAAACTATTTCACCAAATTAGTTCTCGACCATTACTGAGAAAGTTCACCCATAAATGAATTCACACAGACACAGAAACCCCTCTGACACAGGCTGAACAAGGGACAGTCTTACATTCTGAGAAGAGGTTCCATTTTCCCAAAACATACGTTTTCCTGCATGGAAAGTAAGTTCTCATTTTTAAACAGCTGTTTGAAATACCCAGTTCTAGTCAGATAATGAATTCAGCTTCCCTTAAGTAAATATCACCATCTGCCCATACACTTATTTTTCAAAAAAAATCAATTCAAAACTTACACATAACTGTAATGTACAAAAAACTCTCGTGACTTTATTCTCATGATGTTTGCTGGTCTCCTAAATATCATTCCTCTGAGAATCAGACAACCATATGAGAAGCTGAACTTTCACAGAAAGAGTTCTCATGATTATAAATCCATGGAAAAACAAACTAGAACATGATCCATAAGTGTTGGGAGGGGCGGATTTTTATTTGTTCATCTGTTTATTTTAAGACTCATTATTTATCAGGGAGACTAATGTATATATCTCTAAGGGCTTACCTGATATTTCAGTATTTTTAATGAGCAACATTTTGGTATCAGTTTCTGATAGTTCAGAAACTCTGATTTTCCTGAGCAAGGGATACATATTCCTCACAAACTTGTATGGGAGAAAAACCTATAGATGAACTTGTATCAGAGTTTTCATCCTAACATTATGCTTGTGCCTTGAATAGTTAAATGCCATTATTACCTGCATTATTAATCTAATCTGAAGCAAAATCTACTGTGAGTAGTAAGGAAAAAAAGTTACAGTTATCCAATGTTTTCTGATGAGTTATCCAATGTCCAAGTACTGCAAACAACAGCAAATATGCACTAAAGGAGCCACTAACATGGTATCACAGAGAGCAATAGAAACACTGAAGTCCTTCACCAACACTCTGCTGCTTCCCTCTCCCATCACAGACTCATATATTCTTCTTCCAGAACCTCTACAGAAAGATGGTGTTGGACTTAGTTCAACTCAGCTGGTGATAAGTTACATTTGGGGAGAGAAGCCACAGAGAAGAAAGAAAATAAAACATGTTTACACTCAGTACACCATACACAAAACCTTCAATCAAAGCAATGTTTACCAAGGTGGAGACCAATACTGGAAAATAAAGACATCTCTCTCTTGTACCAATAAATACCCAGTGTTAAGAACACACTAATTACTTATGTTCACTTAATAACAAATAGACAGTTATTTATGTCTGTTTATTTCTGTCTACAGTTACCTAAACATCTACAAAAAAACAGTTTAAATTTATAATTTTCTTTCTTTATTTCCACCGTGCTGATTATTTGGCAGTGAAACAAAACTGGTTTCTGCGCACGCTGACAAAACCTGAATCCCCCAGCAAGGACTGCCAGCCAGCTAACAAGAACAGCAAGCCAAACAGCAGCTGCAGGTCCTGTAGCTGAAAACAAATACATAAACGGGAAATAAACATTGAACAACCACCACTGGCATCTACAACCCAGGGATGTTAAAGCACTCCACCAGCACTATCAGTGGGTCACGCATTCCGGGCCTGACCAGTGGCTCCGGCTCGCAGCTGGGAGCTGATGCAGGGCTTTGGAAGCAGGCTGCCCTGCCAGCAGCTCCTGGTGGGGCTTCTCAAAGCACTGCAGGTGGACATGCAAGCACCAGGCCCATGATCTCCTATTATACAGATCCCTACCCAGACACTGCCACTGCCACATTCCAGGGTACCTCAGCAGCTCATCTGACGCTTCATGGGCTTCAAGTCCCTCAATCTCCGTACCAAGATGTCTAACACAAGTGCAGGAACTCAGAGCTTTGGGAAGGACGGTATCATACATTATGCTGTGGCAATACATTTGGAACTGTGCCTGCACATGGGTATAAGCTTTAGAGCAGCTTCAAGGTAGACCAGAGGGCAGGAGATAGCACCCATGCCACCCAGGGATGAAGGAATCAGAACAACTCTGTCCGTACTGTGGAGAGACCAAGCACAGATGCGACCGCACTTGCCAAAGTCAGTCCTCTGTGACATTTCTGCAGCAGTTTCACTTGATGGGCAAGGCTCCTTCATACCCCACAGAAAACCAACCACCCCCATGCAGCGGCTCAGTAGACAGCACACACGCTGAAGCCCACCACAGTCAAGAACTTAACAACAGGGAAACGGCACACAGAGTACATCAGACAAAAAATATCACAATTTTGGAGTACATGCAAAAGGCAGTTTGATGTGATAAGGGATCATACTGCTGTACTGTTAAGGCATGTCCTTTCATGTTCAAATCCAGGTTTCCGTGTCACAGTGCAGTAAGGATTAAGACAGCATTACCACAGCTGCAGTGGTATTTGTCACAATTCCCCTCAACTGAGGTTTAGGAAAGAATTGTAGACTTGGTGAAATTGTCTTGAAAAAGGAGGACAAAAGAGAGGTAGTTTAGCAGCTCACAATGAAAAGAATAAGGGCTGTGCACCAGCCTTGTTTTATCCACTCACCTCTCACAGAAAAGTGGAGGAGAAAGAATGCTCTTATCTGAGCAAACTAGAGCCACGGTGGACCAAATGGGGCTGCTTTCAGGGCCATTTGCTAGGTATTACTGTCTGTGAGCCAAGGGCAGCCTCACTCTCACTGACCGCTTTTCTCCATGCCCTGTGCTTTTTTACAGCTTATGGCTGCAGAAACACAGATGGGCTGCTGCATACATAAACTGAAGTACATGACGGGTTTGAAACCAAAATTCTATGAAGATGAGAGTCTGTCTCCCATCCAAGAATAGCTAATTAATGCAAGACTCTGAAGTGCCATGGAAAATGTTAGAAAAGTTGGGCTGCCACCATTTTGTGATGTGACAGCTTTTATCTACCGTATGTGCGGGGAGGGGAGTTCAACCAACATAGCATATGTTAAAACAAAAATTATAAACATATGTTAGGCTGCTAAAATTGGACATTTACCAGTCTGCTTAGCAATTTAGCTAAGCATTGAATTTTAGTTTTGAAAACTATGCAGGCTTACAGCAGCAAATATCATTGTATTGCCATGACCATATCTGTATAGCCTAGGATATAACATAAATTATTTTGCATGCAATACTAATAACAAGCTCAGATTTTTTTTCTTGCTCATTTTAAAATGTTGATATACTGTTTCACACCAGAACAGACTTTCAATCTTACCGAGCATGCTGAATTTATGTA